AGGAGTCTGGATTAGTTCAGTGTCGATTTGGTGTGTTAGCTTTCTGTATACGCTAGGACTAACTCTAAGCTGGCCCTAGTTTCTCGTGTAATACTTTTGCATTTCTGTATTCCATTGTACTCAAACTCTTAAAAAAAGAAACAACCTCCAACACTGAAAAGTGCAATGGAACATTCATTCAAGTAGGAATTCCAAGTCGGAGACTCGGGCAAGAATTATCTATCCCGAGTGTGCCGACATCAACACACCTGACGTCACAGCAACATGGCGGTGCTCGCAGTGAATTTCCTTTTCATCATTTTTACTTCATGTAGTGTTTGTGTTGTGAAATGTGTTGTAACGCGTTTGTGCTTCTTTGCGAGCATGTGGTACAAGCCTACTCTTCCTGTCTCTTTAAACAGGGTTCCCGTGGATCCTTGAAATGCCTTAAATTAGGTTTTCGGAAATATTTCCCGACAGGATTCTCTAGTTGTTAATTTAATGATGGTTATTTTGTACACTGCTTCTCATTGCTAATGGCGCTGTGATGGATGTAGGTCTTCTGTCGATGCTTGTGAAGCTCAGAGACTTGTCCTACAAACATTAGGCTGCTGCGGGCGTCCATGTTTTCCCGAGTAGATGCAGATTTAGATTGAAAGTCGGGAATGCCGACTCAGAATTATCGACATCAGACTTGCAATGGATTTCTTTTTGAAAAACATATACCCGACCTACTTTGAAAACCAAGAACCACTTACCACTGTTCTGAAGGTATCTCCACAATCCTCAGAGTCCTTTGGCCATGTGGATGAGAAGGTGCTAATCTCTCGCAAGATCCCATTCCAGCACTGATCTGACTCATCGTATACATAGCCTACATTGTCTATTGCACACACAAAAAAGATTTGTAACTTGTTTCTTAAGTTGCAAATGTATTTCCTAATCCAGACAGTAAGAACATATTGGATCTGAAACAATATAACAGCCCATATCAATATACACTCATAAGAAAAGGGATCTGTGCAGCTCTGTGACTTGAATGTAATGGTAACACAAGAAACTGATGCTAACATTAAGCTACATGTTGATGGTCAATACATACTAACTGTAGAATGTTTCTCAAAATATGTCTCGTTTTCCATTTTACACAGCATGAAAGAATATGTGACGTGTGCAGGATTTGGAGTCGTTTGAATTCAGCTTTGACGGAGTAGTGTAACAAGTAAGCGATTAGGTAATGATTTGAGTAATTATTTTTCCAATTTGAAATATTCAACATAATAAAACATAAAAAGAAAATAATTTATTACATTTTTCAAGTAATTACCTGCCTGCAGATACTCATATACCCACTCCCACACACACACGCACACGCACACAGACACACACACACACACACTCTGAACAGCAGGGAAAACCAGACCACTTGGAGAATCACAATGAAGTCAGAACACGGGGCATCTAGCCTCCAGAAACCCTGGCTGCTGGAGAGCAGTGAGACAAAAGTGAAAAGAAAAAAAAAAGAAATAACCCAGAGCCATTTCCCCGGAACCGCCACTGTTATCATCTCAGCGTCCATTTCTGCAGGGGGAGGACCAAGCAGGAGGGATGGAGGAGCCCCCCCACCCCCGAAAAGCCTAAAAGGCCTGCTACGGTAAATCAGATGACTGCAGAGGCCACACACTCTTGCTTCCTGCGTCACGCATACTCACACCAACATGCACAAAAATAGACTGCCGGGCAAATGCTTCCATGAACACACACAGTTCTTTACTCACCTCTTACAGTAAATGAGTGTGGGCTATCTCCCAGAGGGAAATAATCAGCTTCCCGGCTTTTATCACCACAACGGAGCTCATCCTTTTTACGGATCGACTAGATGGCTTAGATACACCCGGCGTTTCTCTCACTAAGATAAAGGCACGTGCTTAGTTTAGTCCGTGGCATGATATGAATTTATTGACTTCCTTAGCCAATTATTGTGCATATGGATTAGAGAGCATTACCTTTCCCTCCTGGCTTTTCACCCTTTGCCATTTCGCCATCCTTTCCTCGTGCTATTTTATCAACCCCTCTCACCTACCGGCCCTGTCCCGCCTCATCGGTCTTCTGTGCCTGGAAACCGCCTCACCCCTTTGTGTCTCCATCACTCACTTTGCAATCCCGCTGTCTGACCCTACACCTCTCCCGTCTTTCCCTTCCATTCCACGCGACCCCCTTTTCCCTCCCCGACGCAATCCTCATCTCATTTCCCTAAATCTCTTCCCATCCCTACGTGTCAACGTGCGTCCCCGCTGTGATCCGGGTGACATTTCAACAGTCACGCCTGTCACGTTGCACAGAGGGGGGCATTGCCCTCCATGCACAACCCAGAGAACAGAGGTGGCATTAATATGTGAGTGTAATGCTCATACAAATGGGGGGGGGGGGAGTGGAGGTGTCTCAGCCTTTCATTTGAAAATTCTGTTTTGTATGGCGAGCATTGGTTTCATTGCGTATGCACGGGGCAGAAAAAGAAGAAGAGACAGATGGAATGAAAGAGCATCTAATTACATGACAGACTTAGCCTCTGGATCTCTGTGATTGAATAGGGCACCCTTTCATGATATTACTCCACAAAGCTTTCATAATATCCTCCCTCTATCTCTCATGCCCGTCATATTCTCCTCCACAGCTTATGAATCCTTTGCAGCAGTGTGTGTGTGTTCACTCCACTTTGGACCCAGTAGGACTGCCAATTCTGGGACATGCTTCTCGCTTTGGTCCCCAGCCATTTCCTGGGCTGTCTGCCTGGGTTATATTAGCCCCCGATATATATTGACCCGGGGAATGAGATGAGGCTGGGGTTGTGTTTTTTGTGCGAGTCCTCGGGGGGGATAACTAGACGTTACTCGCCTGCTGCAGTTGCTGTGCAGTTCTTACTTTTGTTGTCCACTGGATAACAAGGTTGTCTCTCTGCTGTAGGAACTCTGGGCTTTCTGCTCCGTCTGGCTAAACAGACAGCGCCTCAGCGATAGCAGACTCTGTGGGCGTTCAGCTGCACTCTACTGCCTCTCTCTAGAGAGAGTCTTCAGCATGTCGGTGGATGGTCTGGTGGGTGTGCGTCTCGAAAAGGCCTCCACATACATATACATGTGGCCTCTGAGGAGGTCTGGATCGCTGAAATATTACAGAATTATTGCCTGAGGGAAACAGGTACTTTGAAATGTTAAGTATTTTCTTACATAAGTACATTATATATTCCAAAAGCAAACTTTTATTCCTTGACAGATGGATTATTTCCTCAGAAAACGGACAAATAATTGACAACTTCCCAGTTTGATCTCGTTCCTACATGTCCCCTGGTGCGACGCATCCAAACATCTGGTGCATTTGGAAATTGGGACGCCAAGTGTTGAATCTATACTGTGGCACCTAACTGGGTTAATTCAGAGCACTTGCAAAAATTCACTTGTGGAATTCAGTGTTAGCAGGCAATCTTGGCCGTACAGCGACAAGCCAGCTGCCGCTACATATAGTACCAGTGAATCCAAAGCCTTTTAACATCGTTTCATCTTCCATTCCCCATATCCGCTATCAGATCACATTTCTTTCTGACATCTTTTGCTGTTTTTCTCACGGAACTGGGGCACATTCTTTTATAAACAGACTGGCAGATTGGATCTAAACCCAACAGGACCTCGCTGGAAAATGCAGCACGGTGCATTCATTGTGAAAGATATCAAGGTGACTGATCCGTCTCATTTCTGCGAGAACGTGTTGTTTAGAATTAATCTCAGCGCTGGAACTTCTCGTCGTCACTCACGGCTTGTCAGCCTCTGGTGTTATTTTTCATCCATCTTTAGTTCCTCTTTTTTTGCGGCGAGACATGACATTTTCCAAACAGATTTTAATAAAACATTTTGTATCTGCCACAGAAAGAGGGCCACTTAGCCTGGAAAAACAGCTAACCTTGTTTTTGTGACAGGCGAGCAAAGCGTTGCAGAATATGACAGGGGCGATTGGATGAAGAGCCTTGGAGGAAAACTGTTTATATTTACTTATATTTTTTTGCTATTCACAAATGTTCTTGTCTGCATTTCTTGGCCTCTGCCACCTCTTGAGGCTTTTCTCTCTTTTCCCTCCATCGCGTTTTTCTTATTTCTTCTCTCCGTCTTCTGAGAGCCCTCTGGTGTGCTGTCAAAGTCACCCTCGCTGGTCTGAGATGAGAACGCTGGTATCCCTGATGTCTATGCAACAACAACCAAACAAACAAACTGCCTTTGCCTTGCACAGGGACATCAATTTACCCTCGTCTTGATTTGGCAGTAAGCGTCCAGACTGATGGCCAATCAAAAGCACATTACAAACTCGGAGCGAGAAATAAATTAAAGTCTGCTCGTCCATGCACATTCCTTTTTAAAACCGATACCTTTCCGGTGAATGTTTCATGCTTCTAAAACAAACCCAGAAACGTGGTGTCACAATAGATTTTCCTCTAAAAAGGAGAAAATATACAAATATTCAGAAATATATTGTTATCACTGAAAGGACAAAACACAATGTAATGGCTTTCTGGGGCTTTCTCTCCCCTCTCCTCAGATCACTAAAGGACATTTGGAGACTCCAGGTGTGTATGTTGTGCTTGGGTTGGTGCATGGGTGGCATTGGGGGCGCTCTTTTATGAGCTTTGTCATCTGCAGCAGCATAGAATAAATCGCTGCCAGTGATATCACGTCAATGAATATGAACACGAATATAAAACTCTGGGAAGAAAAAGTAAAAGGCCCTCCCCTGATTTGCCAGAAATATTTCAATAAATAAAATTGAAAATTGAAAAAGAAAAAGAAAAGCATCCCTTCTTTTCCTGCCCTTTCCCCACAAAGAATAAGGTAGTAAGTAAAGCAGCTCTAATCAATGTTATTATAAGAACGCACTGGCCCCACATGGCCAAAATAAGCTTTAAATGTCACAGAAATCTGTTTGTGTAGTTTTTCTGTGACACTAAAAACAAAAACAACAACAAACGATTGTGAGTCATCTTCATTTTATTTAAACTGACAACATTGTACAAGAAGAGTCATATTGATTATCATAGTTATCAGTATTGTTGAAAGAATAGCAGACTATTACAATTGGCGCTTTGTTTTTCAATACAATGACTGTAAAATAACACATGTTAAAATCTACAGATGTGTTTTTATATATTTTGATTATTATGTTTTACCATAAGGGTTTGACACCAAGAATGTGTAAACTAACAGTTATAACTCAGACACTACACTGTGAAAAATAAAGTCATAGAATAACAGTTACTGTTTGTCTTAAAGGGCTTTACTAACATTTCATCAACAGTAAATGTATCAATTGCAAATTTAGAGTAACTCAACAGTTTTCTTAATGCATGGGAAATGTCTGTTAAATGACAGAACATTTTAAAGTAGAGCACACCCTAACGGCACCTTTCTGGGTCTGGCAATACGAGAAGTTCTTACGATCCAATTAATGTATCTACAGACGTCCATCGACGCAGCTGGTAAATTGCAGGTGCGTTTTTCAGATAACACATGGACACCATAAATCATGCCATTGTACACCACTCCTCCACCAGAGTCACCCTGTGAGAGAGATATAAATATTTAGTGTAACAGACTTTCGTATCATTTATTATAATACTCATTTATAGTGAATTGGTAAAACTTAAAGATATAAAGCCATGCCAACTCACTCCAGAGACCTCCACTCCAGCTCTTTTGAAACACAACCAGTGTTCACAGCTTCTTGTTGCCCATAGCTGTCAGTACTCTTTCTGAAAACAGTCTCTGAGCGGCTGACAGTTGACAACATCGGTGTTTGCACAGAGGAGAGTATTTGATTGAAGTGTTACTAGATGAGAATAGAAAAAACAACAATTTTCAACAACTTCACCAAAACAAATTTCATCATTATCTACCAAACTTGTACACAGAAAATCCTTCAACCAACAAATAACCAAATGTATTCTATTTATTGTTTTATGAAAACAAATGGGACCAAATTACTTTTCACAATATCAAAATAATATATTATATTAATATAATTAAATGTGCCGAGTTGAGCTGGAAAAGAGACTTGATTTTATTGATTTTGTGTTTTGTTATGTATAAACTGAAATATATAATATAATAAACACCAGCATTTTTAAGAAAAGGAATAACTGTATTTAACCCTTAGAAACCAGAAGACCAGTTTTTGTCTTTTTTAGGGCGGACAAGGGATCTTTAGGGGCTGATAGCAGGACGACAGTATAATCCACACAGAAGTGGGGAACGTCATCTGAAAGCTGAGAACATGAAGATTAATTTGAGATGCAGGTCAGCAGGGTGTGTCAAGCTGACGTAGTCATCAATCAGATAATTATTATTGTGAATGTATTAATTAAAATAGTGAAAGTGTAAAAAAGCTTTGGACGTTATGATGGACGTTCCCATACTATATTATGTCTCATAGGTTGACACAGACTTGGTGGTGAATTTAAAAAGTGTTAAAACTTTTTTCAACATTTTAATCTAGAGAGAATTGATGAAAATGATCAAAAATACTACATATAGACACAAGAACTCGAGGAACACCACAGAATAAGTCATGTTGTGATTTGGTACCAAAAACATAGACAATTCTTATATAATAAACAAGATTCATCTCACCTCTTTGATTATTTTGGTCTACTGTTGTGTGTGCATTAGAAGAGAAATAACGAAAAGAAACAGTTTTCCTCAGAGTTCCTCATGAGTTGAGCTGTCAGACTTATTAAAGGGGAAAAATCAGAACTTACTTTCTGGGACAACTTTTACAATCAGGAAGCGATACAGGTTGAATCCGAGTAGGGTTAGGGTCAGTAATCTTCAGCAGCATGATGTCATGTGTCTGGTACTGGTTGTCCAAAAAGAAACGAGGTCTGACTTCCATTAGTGTCCTTAGACCTTGACCTGGATGCACACCCACAACTGCATACCTACAAATAAGTAAAGATTGAAGAGGATCATCACTGAATTTTGTAAACACACCATATGTTAATATTATAGGTCAGTAATCACTGAACAATGATATTGTTTTATATCAAACCATCACTGATTGCTGCTTTAGGACTTTATGAGGTTTAGTGAATTCATGAGTGACTGTTTTACTTGAAAACTAGAAACAATATATGTCTCACTTTCTCCACTGGTCACTGGTCAGAGAGCACCTATTACCCACCATTATCTGTTATCAATCTCTCGTGGTACAGATGCTCATTTTGGACATGACGTTTTAAACTGAGATTCAAGGTGAGCACAGATGATCTTTTTCCAAGACTAATTTAAAGTCTCAAACTCTGCACATACATCATTCTGCACAGTGAAGGTGAAGTAACAATAAGCAAAAGACATGTTTTAATGCAGTGAACCTTCAAGTATAGATCTGTCTTTCTTACAGTGTTTTGTCCCAGCAGTGTGCTGCAGTCAGAATCCACTGGGCACTGATCAGAGAGCCACCACAGACAAATTTATCAGAAGGAGATGATTTTCTCAGTTGAACATGGTACTGACGCTCATTATTGAGACAATCTTGACCTCCGAGGATTCTCTTCTGCAGATCCACCACCGTGCCCACTGTGACACCTAAAACACAAAGTCCTCCATGATTGTGAGTTAGAACAGAAAACAGCAATTCACTTTGAAGGAACCTTATATAAACTTAGTGACTCACCGACCCACAGCACAAAGAGGAGAGAGGTAAGACGAGCCATCGCTGTCGTTCTCCCTCTGGACTGCCCTCCTGGTGTGAAAGTGTTGGCTTTTTAAGTCTCTTCACACTGTCCTGTTGGCCTTTGATCCACCAATCACATCGCAAAGTTTTACTGACAGGTTCCCATTGGCTGAGAAGATCTGCACGTTCATGATAATGTGTGATCTTCATCAATTGTTGAGTCTCCACAGCAACAATAGTAACAGTCAACAATCTTGGCCAACTTATTTAATCTATTAGATAAATGATGAGTTTAAAACATGTATAGTTCATGTAGATTTTAGAGGACGGTACAATTGCTCCCCTCATTGCATACGTTGGCTGTGTTGTGTTACATGGCAGCCCAGAGAACCTGATATTGAGAGATAGAAAAGAGTAATGCAAGAAAAAGCTGTGGTACGCCTCAGAGTAAAATCTAGAAGTGCCGGTACTTTGTACGGGTGAGCCCCGGCCCACTTCGAGAGCTAAAACACACTTCATTGATACTCAAAAACAAGCAGCGATGTATGCAGGCAATCGGCTCGATGTCGTCTTATAAGACATTTCAGACAATATTGCAAAAAACAAAATTAAACTCACCCAGCTGTCTGCCTGCATTTTAGCGGCTATGTACTCAGATGTGGTGTGCTGGTAGTTCTGTTAGCTGTTAACCAAACACACAGCCCAGAACAATAAAAGTGTGCAAACTGTTTAGGTCCTGACTAATAAGTGTTCTCACTAGTGGCCCTTAAGAATAGTGAGTAGAGACTCAGCATGCAGCCACAACTGGGCTCAAAATATTAAGCCAAAGAATTCTGACAGCAATGTGTCAAATAACGCAGCTTTTTTGCACGTCTCAGTGACGGCGTATCAATGTATACAGTTAGCATTTATGCTAATTGTTGATCTGTATCAATTGATGTTGTGTGGAAACGAGAGAGCTGATGAACAGCGGTTATCAACCTTGGCCATTTATTTTACTTCTGAAATGTATCTGCTAAATCATCCTGTCTCTGAGAAACAGAGAGGAAGACAAACAGCAGAAGTCAGAAGAGGAAGATGAGTTTAGAGAGAAAGAAAATAATGTTCCTCTTTAAAATGTTTCAATAGATGCTGAAGCAAACATTTAATTGTTGTTTTGTAATTGCTCTCCCCCATGTATTACTTCTTTCATTTTTAACATCATATTCATAGTTGTTTAACCCATAGAATATGTAGCATTACTATTGTTGAAGAGTTAATGCAGGTGTATTAACCAATATCCCCCTATCAAACACAAGCACACACACACACACACACACACACACACACTTTTCAAAATTGTGCAAATGAACTGAAAATAAAAGAAGAAATATTTGCAGGCAATTTACAGAAAAATGTCCATGAGTCCTACACTGTTGTTGACTCAATATGGATATGATTGTATCCTTCCTTTGTATATCCAGAGGGTGGACACAATCAGGAAATCCCAACATGGACGCCACTCGGCCAGGTGATAGCCGCTTTTAACGCTATTCTTTTTTTACCGATCGCCTTGAGTCTGAACTCCGGAAAAAAGAACAGCTGATCAACGGATTTGTTTCAGTAGCGGCGGCCCAGGCAAAGCATATCTCATGTATGCAACCTTCCAGTCTTGCTGTGGGAACAGCCCGATCACCCACAACCATAGAGTCTCAGCTGGTCGGCATGAGCCGCCATGGGTTTGCACTGGAGCCAGGACCAAGGCCCCGGGATTTTAACTCTATGTCTGCGAGCATGTTTTCTGAGCTTTTTACCACGGCTTCTTCAACTGCATTTAATCCTCATTTTAACTGAGAGGAGCTGGTCTCTCTTTTTAATCACAACCTGTGAGACTGTCCTGGATTCTGTTGCCTCCTTTAAAGACAAAAGGTCAAATAGAGAACCCCAGCCCTGGCTAAATGAATCCATCTATGATTTAAAGAGAGACTGTAGGAGAAAGGAACCAAAATGGAAAACAAACAGGTCTACATGTATTTTATGAGAGTTGGAAAGAAGCAGTGAGGACTTATCAAACGGCAGTTAAAGGTGTTAGAACTTCCTTCTTCTACAACTTCATTTTAGCAAATCACTTGAATCTGAGAATTCTATTTAAGATAATCAACTCAGTGGTCACCCCCCCAGTTCATATCCCGTATGAAATCAACCATTTGCAGTATTGATTCTATACCAACTACATTTCTTAACGAGGTTATTAACACAATTGGTCCCCGTATTTTATTGATTATTAACAGTTCATTAGCAACAGGAACTGTTCCAACTACTCCTAAACATGCTGTGGTCCAGCCTCTTTTAAAGAAACTTAATCTCTCTGTTCTTAGCAATTTTAGACCCATTTCTAAACTTCTGTTTTTATTAAATGTTTTAGAGAAAGCGGTTTCAACCCAGCTTTTAGCTTTCGTGTATCTTAATAACGTTTTCGAGAAGTTTCAGTCAGGTTTTAGAGCTTTACATAGCACAGAAACCACCCTCCTCAAGGTATCCAATGATCTCCTTTTAGCAGCCGACAGAGCTCCATTTTAATTATTTTAGACCTAAGTGCACCCTTTGACACATTTACATTACAGTCATTTAGCAGACGCTTTTATCCAAAGCGACTTACAATTAAGATCCTATTCTATCACACTGTAGGCACAGCTATGGGAGCAATTTTTAGGGTTAAGTGTCTTGCTCAAGGACACCTCGACATGCGACTAGCGGAGCCGGGGATCGAACCGCCGATGCTCTGATTGAAGGACGGACCTGCTATCCACTTAGCCACGGTCGCCCTATAGACCATGATAGACCATGAGATTTTCCACACTAAAAATGACTTTAGTTTATTGTCACTGTTGAGGTAGCCACCATGAATGTCCGAGACACACTACACCACTACAATTTGCTATTGATATAATAATACACCATTTGATTTATTAAGATTATGAATTAAACAGCATCGCAGATGTCCACCTTATCATGATATCATGATGTACACCTTATCACGGCGCCCGAACAGGACATCTGTCATACTGCAGATGGACTTTGGTACTATCTAACACCTCTGTTCCTGTGGAGCGAGGGGCCAGGCCCCAAAAAGAGATAAGGCAGCGTACTGTGGTTTGAGCATCTGGCTGACTCATGAAGAGAAGTCTTCGAAGAGCATTTTAACTTAACACCTAATTAGCATATAGGGAACATGGCCCCTGTGAGCCCTAGAAAAAGAGGAAATCCTATCTCAAGGTGTTCTGTATTTTATACAAGTTGTCTCTTCCTCATTTTACTTTACTTCAATAATAAGTTACGATCTATTGCTTATTATCAACCTAAGAGTGTTATACTTTCAGATATCAATCTACCCGTTGCATGTAATCTCATATTGCTTGGAGACGGTTACATTTGTAAATTGCTTTAATGTGTGATTTCCTATAATTTATCAAAATATAATCATACGTGCTCGTAATGTTGACTGTTATGTTAAAGCTAATGGAATAAGTGAACTTTGAGTTAAACTCACTCTGATGTGATCGAATGACAGCCAGCAGAGGAGAAAGGTTGTGAATTCAGCAACTAACTATTGGGTTAGTGAGGGAACACCCTGATCAGTGAGAGCTAGACAGACGCCTTCAGACTATAATAATTATTATTTATTACATTACAAATTTAAATTAAGTTTTACTGGATTCACACTAAACTGTTAATGTGCGTGTCTGTGAGCATAGAGAGCAGTGAGAACAGTCCTCCACCAGAACCCACACACACATATAGACCCCCCCCCCCCCCCCACACACACACACACACACACACACACACACAACTACAAACACAGAGAGCTCATACAGCTCACAAGTCAAATTTAGGCTCATTTAATTGAACTCTAACAATGCTGCTGTGATATAAAATCACTAAAGACTATGTGTTTATGTTTTTTTTAGATTTCTTTGTTAAATGTGGTCGCTGGCTCTAATGTGTTTTCTGTCTTCTGCGCTCAGAGTATTTTCATGTGTAACTATGTCCACTGAAGATTAAACACCAGCTTTTTATGTCACTTACTTAGTAAAATATTTCCTCGTGCCGTTGGCTTATCGAAACAGAGGAGCTCAGGGAGGCAACAATCGTCTGTCAATTCACACAGTGTTTATGGTTTGATAGTACGTCATATTTTAATGAACGACACTTTAGCACACATTGTTACTTTACACAAGGATCTCTGTTTTCACTGTTTCAAGTATCTACAATGTAAACACATCTGCGTCCTTATTAGCGGCTCAGAGTAAAATGCTCCGGGAGTGTGATGACGTCAAATCAAGACCCAAACAGAAACTAGCTCATGGTGGGTGGTAGAGGAGGTTGATGGGTCAAACAAACACAGAACTTTCATCCAGGAAACCCGTGTTTGTGTCCGTTATTTTGAAGCTGCCTGTTTTGCTGACTTATGTTACGTTGTTTACATTTACTCAGTTTATGTACTTTATTCAAACCCCACCATAATTGTGTTGCCTAAACCTATAAGCAAGTTTTTTTGTCCATCCATCCCTGAGGCCGTAGTGCGTTTAGCCAAGGGTCCTGACCAAGCGTTGGTGTGTGACGAGTTGGATTGAGAACGTGTTTATATCCCACCAGCTCTTATCTCAATCTGGCCATAGAAAACGTACAATCTGCTTTAAGCATTCACATATCTAATCCAATAAATGCTGATAAAACAATACACACGGCATTCTCTAGAACACAGAAGATAATCTATAATCTAAATTCTTCAGGGTTCTCAAATTGAAATGGTTCATTGTTAAAAATGCTGTATTTCTGGATCTGGCTGGGTATCAGACTCAAAAATGGATTTCTGTTGACACAAATCATGGTTTTCTTCTTGTAATCAGAAGAACATTTTTCAATCTACCATTATGTCAGAGCTTAATTATTGTGATATTCATACGCATGCCTCTCCCTCTGCTCGTCTTTAACCATCAAGCTGCACTGTACATTATTTATCTAGAAGAAAAAATTGCCAAACTATCTTTAATCCTCTGAGTATTTCCATCTAAATACAGTGATTGTAATGACAGGTAACAGGACATTTTGACAGTTTGACACACTGTCA